CAAAGAAAACATTAACAGAAAGTACTTTCTATGTCAAAATTCACAGAAAGGAAAATGATTTTTGAGTACAAGTACATAGAACACTCGAGAGCTCACATTAACTCAGAGTACAAATAAAGATGAAGAAAATTTCTAAATAGGCACAATGGAGAATTTGAGCAGTAGCATACCATAAAAATTCCTAAAAAAAACTGCTGGAGGCAATAAAATCTAAATTTGGCAATCTCCATTAGTTTAAAAAAGAAAACTAATTTTATATGATTCAACAAGTTCATTTCAATATAAATGATGAAAAAGCATTCGATATCAAAAGTGATTGTAAACTTGGCAATGGATGTTTATGAGCCCAAGATGACGGACTCAACTATTATCAGGTAATGATTGCACCACACTACTATCAGGGTGCTAAATCATCAGAACAGCACTGAATCAACCGAATTACACCAAATAACAGATATTGTCATCAAAAAATCGCGACATGGAAATTAATACTTACTTCAGTGATTACAAAAACAAAACACTAGTTCTATAGTTAATGTGGGAATTAAGTTGTTAACTTGAAATCCTAGAATAACTTAATAAAACCTTATAAATTAAAGTTTACGAAGTTTTATTAAGCAATACCTAAAAACAAGCATGCAAGACACATAAGTATTTACTATCCCTCTGGTTCAGTTGTTTGAAAAATATGCGATTCATTTTTCAACTCCTTAACCGATTCATCTTTTAACTTCTTAACTCGCTTCAAGGTTTAACTTCCAGAAGCTGATTGATATGCATATAAACAGTGTCATACACTGTAAAACTAATACCAACCGCAATCGGACCCTGAAATGTCACATTTCTTAACTCCTAAATTTGTAATTTCGATTTCCAAATACTTGAGTATTCCCAAATAATCAACGGTTCCGTAGGATTACATCATTGATTTCTTTTTCTTAAACAGCTGAACCTTATCATTTCTAATGCGCACTTAAGTTGACCGAATGATTACACCTGTTATAATTCGATTTCTTGATGTAATTTTGGGATCGAGGAAGGAGGAAAAGCATAAGACAGGGCAAAAGATTCGATATAAGACAAACCACAGATAAAATTCTCAGATTATCAATGTAATTAATTGATAGCTCAATTTAAGCTTACTTTGATCCAGTTCAAACTGAGACCTTTGTAAAGACCATTCTTGATACCTTCGGTTTTCCCGATCACATACAGGCTATAGAAAACATTATGCCCAGTAGGGATACGGAGTGTTTGCATGCGACGTCGCACAATGTCGAAAGGATAAGACGAAGACTGACCAACTAAACCAGCAAAACCACCGAAAAAAAGACGATAAACAGATGGAACTTCCTTGTTTGTTTTTTCTGCAATAAAATTAAACATCTTAATTTGCAACATGCTGAAAATTTAATTTCGAAGTGAGAATAATTAGGTAAATCACTTGAATAAATCATTAGGTGAATCATTACCTTTAGTAAAAATTATTACTTTTAGTAAATCATTAAATCTTCAAGTAAATCATTACTTTTAGAAATCCACATTCATAATGGATACAAAAAAAAGCATCATACAGTGTACTGGACATATAAACATTTTAAAAATAGAAATTAAATTTAACTATCGATGTGATCATTGGTCTTTTTTTCTTTTTTTTTTGTTGCTTTCATGAACAACCGATGAAGGAACCGAACAGAAAATGAAATTTGATCGAAAACTCACCAAAGTAAATTAATTTAAGTGTTTCAAAAATAAAGAAACTGGCGCCTGCGTAGGGTATGGCTCCCATCAAAGCTGGAATTAAACCGTTGTAGAACGTTCTGCAATTAAAGTCTTCGCGAATTGTCAAGATGTTCACAGCACATTATTCTTTTTATAATACTAGTACGAAATTATAAACATGTCAGTTTTCGTTCTTAATACTAACAATTCCATGCAGCATTACATTCTCACCATATATCTTAAACGACAATTTACATTCTATTTGAATTAGTGAGTAAATTAAATGGTATCACGTAATCAGTAATCAGGTGAATCAAAATATATGTTAAAATAGTATAATTATTTGGCAAATTACATACCTGACACCATATCTTTGGTAATCTTTGATGAAAACATTTAGTAAGGAACTATATTCATCGACAGTTGATGTAGCTAAACGTGCTTTAGCTGTATCAAGTGGATATGTACACGTTGTTGCAACTACTCCTGCTAAGGATCCCGCAATATAACGTTTCACTGGAGTTCTTGTCCTGAATAGCTAGAGGTCAATCATAATTCAGATCTTATTTTAGAAGAAATGAATCTCCTACGGAATCAAATTTTAATATCTTAATAATAAAAACTAAACCAAGAAGGAGCCACGTTTCTTGAATTCTCTATATGCCGGATGAAAAAGATTTAAAGAACGTTTTTCCACATACTAAATGAAAAAATTTAATGAATGTTAAGACTGATAAGTCCGTATGCCTAATTACAAAGTAAAGCAAATGAAAGTTTCCCAGAAGTCTAAATGAAAATAATGCATCAAAATTCGAGATGATCCAGACAAAATGAAGGACCATGAAATATGCTCAGTACCTGAATACCATAAAAAGATACCGCCACTGTTAACAATCCAAACAGGTTGGAAAATTGCTACTTACCCATCCTTATCAACTCGTAATATATGTTTGATCTCCTCATGCGCACCAAACTGTATTACAGCATACGGTACAATGCGTACCATCATTGCTGAATTGCCACGCCATAGTGAAATTAAACCAGTTGTTTGGTATGTATTTTTGATAAAATTAAGAGCTGACTTCAATGAATAGTGAACATTCCCACAAACTAAATAAAATATCGTATTTCTGACGTTATTTTAAGAGAGATGAAAGAAAAGGAAATATTCTTAACAATTTCGGTTAAACAAACTTTCGATATGAATGCCAAAAAACCAAACATTTACTTTGAAAATTAATCTTCGTACGATCAAGCGGTGCAATGGTAGTTTTTGCTATTGCACCAGCGCATGCTCCAGCTGCGAGTGATGCAAATATTTTTCGACCTGGTAGACTTTTCTGAAAATATATTTAAAAAAAATTCGACCCTTTAAAATGAAAAGCTGAGTAACAAAATAACAGCTAATAATTTTACAGTTTTTGATGAAGAATACTACGAATTGATTTTGAGTGATATACCAAATCCAATTTTACATTTGCGCATGCTGAGATGCATATTACCCAAAGCACCGAAAAATTTCTCATTAAACCAAATCTATCACACTTCTACATTATCAAAAGGGGAAAAGCAAAACAAGATCGTTATCATATAAAACACAGAACGGTCAACTTTTATACCTACAAAAAAAAAGAAGAGAAATTAACCTCTTCGGATTGTGACATTGCAATTGAATTTCCTAAACTACATTTTCATCACAAAAATCTTTCGTTTCAAACAAAATTTCACCAAAGAAATCACTGCCTTTGCTCTGAAACGATTGACTAATATCGAAGTAACAGCTTTATACAAATCTGAATAATCCTGCAAAATAATACTCTTTCATGCTTATTGCTTTAAAAAAAAAAGAAGAAGCGAATGTTTTCATTTCAAACATTTTTTATTGAACTTGCATACACTTCATTAATTCATATCATTATCACTAATATTAATTAATACATTGAATAAATAAATAAAAAAATACAGAAAGAAGTTAAGTAACAAGGAAAAAAACAACATACAGTGAGTATGAGAGTAAGAGTAGTTAAAAGTATTATTTTCATCTATTATTCCTATATTGCACGCTTTATTGTTATTTCAAAGTAATGTCAAGCCAAGTATCAAATTAGTTTGATCATATATTACTATTTGTCGTAGATAATGATTATCACACACAAGGAAGTAGACAATTGATCATTTGAAGATGTCAAGCTTTATCATATTAATAATATAGTGTAACAGCAATGCAATAAAATTGTAAAAATAAACACGACTTTATTTTAACATCTAAATCAATAGGGTAATAGAAGTGACATCATCAAATTAATTTTTAGTATTGATAGTAACGAATATCAATTTGGAAAAATAATCATATGAATTTAATTGAAGAAATTGGACGAAACAACTATGTTCTAATCCTTTAGAGTTGTTGATCATTTCTGCTATATGTTCAAAAAACACAAAGGAAACAGCTGTTATCAATTTTTAATCTACTGCATAATCATTAGCAAAAAGAAGAGAAAAAAAAATAGTATATTTATCTTATACATTCTAAATCTCTACCAAAATGCATCAATAAATTATTACTACATTTTAAAGTGAATAAAAAAAAAAAAAAGAAAATCCCAGATATCAATAAATAAATGTGTAGAGTTTTAGTTTAGGAATCTTAAAATTTGGTAAAACTTGACCAAAAAATCACAGGATACACAAAACTTCATGTTCTACATTACTCATACATATGTAACTCAAGCATTATTTTCTTCTTTTTGGATTTTTATTTCTCTACTAATCACTCTTTCTACTCGTTCTATTACTATTTTAATATTGAGCAGAGAAATGATAATTCTATCTTTTGACTGGAAAAAAAAATTTGACTATCCTTATCGATTAAAATGTGATAATAATCTTAGGGAATTGTTTGAAATTTCTAAAAGCATAGTTGGCTATCATAAGACAAAAAGTTACCACTTCAGTGTATAGGCAGCAAGCCATTAGTTTTCAGCATTACTTTGTTAAGAAGAAAAATGACAAAAATAGTAGAAGATCAAAGGTCAAAAATAATAATCTTATCACTTTTTCTATAATAATGAAATATTTAGATCAAATTTCCGATAAATTCTAGTTATCAAAACACTTCTTGCTACAATTACGAACATACTAATTAACTACTTACACTTTATAACTCGAATTATTTTTACATTTACACTTATTTTTACTCACACTTACACTATTTACACTTATCACATTATCTTTACACTTTCTAACTTTAAATAATAAAAGATCGTCGGCGAAACCGAAAAAAATGTGATGAGTTGTTTTAATCAGAATTTAGAATATTTCTCAGATAAATGATTTGTTGTACAAAATCAATAAAATAAATACTTCACCCTGAAGTGATGAATCACTTATTCAAATCCAATTTTTCCAATTTTTTAACCAATCTTAACTGCATTGTTTAAATGTTGCAAACAAGATTCCTTGTTATAAATTCCTTTTAATCTTTTAATCAAGCTTATATGCTATATGTATAAATGTCGAAATCTTGTAAAGAATCTTTAATCTGGTAGTTAAGTCAATGTATTTGGAATGTTAAATCACTCCCATTATAAAAGGAGCTAGGATCAATCATCCTGACGGTCAAATGAAAAAGCTCGAGCAATCATTCAATCTGATAACTCCCGAAGTTACGAAGTCCGATAGATATTATTCAGTCACTCAGACATGATAGCCATCTTCTAATAAAAACAGAAAGCACTTATGGTTTAATAGCAGAGAAGCGGCGATACAACAGTTCAGCGTGAGCAACAAGATTACTCGGTATCCTTTAATACTTATTGTGTATTGTTCATTTCATCCCTATTATTGTTTCTATGTAATTTTCTATCATACCATATAAGACCAATAAAGGTTACTATCAGCACAATGGACTTACAATAATAAAAAATGAACTACAAACTTCCTGCGAAAACCACCTTCTATAAAAACCGAAAAATGACATAAATCATCGTACATTTACTCCGTGTTCCGGTAAAGACCGGAAAATCGTATTCATCTTGCAGCAGTGATTCCCAATCTTTTCCTGACAAATAGTCATTTTGGCTTTTTAATATGTATCAGGGATTACAAGATGCAAAAACAATCAGTTCCGTTAATTTGAAAATGAACTTCAATTAAAACTTCAATGTATTGATTGAGCTTAGAGTTAGAATAACATCATAATATTAAAGGGAGAAAGAAATATTTTCTTTTTCTCTAGTAGAAAATTCAACTTCGTTCCCATCAATGTGATATTTGAGCTTATATTTTTTCCTTGCTAGTTGGAAGCTAATATTTACCACTTCGCTTACTTTTTGGATTTAGTTTGATTTTTGTAAACCATCCATTAGCCACGGATCCAGCAGATTAGAACCACCCCCTTACATGAACAACTGAAAAAAATGTGAAAAAAAAGATTCGGATTTACGGCCGGGTCTTCATTTCCTGATTCGTGTGGTATTTCGTATGTCGTCCAATATCTTTCTAAGCTGACGTTGCGTACACTTTTGAAGAAGGACACGTGAAATTTGAATTTTAATGTTAATTTAGAGTGCATTAGAATGCGGTTGATAGATATCGCATTCACTGTGCAGTCATTAATATTATTTGTTGATGCTGCACAAGATTATTACGAGGTATTAGGTGTTAAACGTGACGCATCAACAGCACAAATCAAGAAAGCATTCCGGAATTTGGCACTCAAATATCATCCAGATAGAAATAGTGATCCAAATGCACATGAGAAATTTCGGGAAATTGCGGCAGGTATCTTCTTATTTCGTGTTTTTATTTATCATTTTTTTTTCTGTCAAACATAAAACGAACTTAACTTCATATTCCATTGTACTCAAAATTCAGTTAAATTTTTACTCTTGCTTCTTTTTTTTTCAAAGATTTATTTAGCTTCAGGATATTACTGATTAAGTAATGGCCATATTTGGGCTACATTGCCAATTTTAGTTTGCAGTGGGAAGAACAGAAGAAATTTTCCCTTTCTCGGAAACATGAAGTTTTTTTTTTATATCTGCACTGTAGAGTAGGACACTTTTCTCACAGGTTTTTTGTGCAACTTCGATGAGCTATTCAAAATTTAACGGTTTTTTCTTAATTATCCATCATTATTACTTGTGGTCTACTTTTTTTTTACCAAGATGTACCCGTATGGAATTTATCTAATAATTCAAACCTATAAGGTGGAACCTCATCATCAAGTGGTTTCTTTGTTGAGCCATTTCTTAATTAGTCGTAACAAAAGAGAAAGTGACAAGCTGATAGAAAGAATTATTCCCTAATCGTTCCGCATTTTAGTCTTGAAGTCTCTTGACTCGATTTCTTTGATGGAGCTTTGATGGAGCTATGAAACGATTTGCATGAGTCGCTAAGACAGTTATGACCCTCCTTTCTTTACTTATCCATAATTCCATTTCAATTTTTTTGTTTTTCTCTTTCAAAATTACTGCACATAAATATTTCAGCATACGAAATACTTGCTGATGAGCAAAAACGACGAAACTATGATGCTGGCGGTTGGTCCAATGATCAGCAGCAACAGCATGCGCAGAATTTTGACTTCGATGCTTTCATGCGTGAATTCCGAGAAAGTAGGGTTACTCCCGTCACGGGAACTTGTGGTTTTTCGTAACTTGAAAAAATCTTTCAAATTGGATATAGTGAGATCTGTAGCATTTTACACAGTAACAGTTTATACTTTCAGTAAGTGATATAAATTGTACAAAATTTCAGTGCAGAAGCTTGCCGTAAAGTAGAATTTCTCGAATGTTAACATATTATGTTTGTAGTATCATAAAATCAAAGATAGCTCTCTTCCAGTCTTTTTTCAATTTCTGTTGAAATGCAATATATTCTGTTAAAATACGGTATATTTTGGATCTTTGATTTGTGGATCAACCTTGCATCAAAAATATTTTAGGTATGAATATTCACCAAAGAAGTCATCAATATGCACACTCGAAAGCTCACTGGCAAGGAACTCACGGTCACAGTTTATTTGATGATCTTTGGGAAGGTTTCGATATGTTTCCATCATTCAGTGGTTTTGGTAGTACCGGAAATTTCGATGGATCTGATGGAATATATTTCGGAGATTTCCCTTCAAATCCAGCTTCAGTATATATGAAAGAAACAAATCAAGGAGGTATTTTTTTAAGAATGTAATTGGAATCTTTTCCGTCTATTTCTAATTGAGATAAAAGAGAAATGGCCTATAGTTGAGAGCATGAAAGAATAATGAAACGTTTATCCTAAAGTGAGGAGAAAAAACACTCTGGCAAATATGGATTCGATTTTCAGTCAGAAAATTGATATATGTAGTGGTCTGTATGGATGGCAAAATACAGTTTTCTTATGTGTCGGAAACTGTTGGAATTGCAACCGTTTTTTGTACTTGTTTAAACTAAAAGGCAAATTTACAGGACAAAGATGTAAAACGGTGACAAAAAAGACGGGTAATATGATGACCACGCAAACAATATGTACTAGCAATTAGCATTTGTATAGTTATCTAAGATTTTGTGGACAGAAATTTGATTTGTTCATTTCTAAGTGCAATGTATATATTTTCAAGCTGGGATATTGGCAGTAAACATTTTTATTCCAAATGTTGAAGGACATATAGAATTATGGAATGCCCAGAAGACTGGACTATAGAATAATAGACATTATATGCTTGTAATAGAAAAAAAAAGCTATAGGGCCTGTTTAATACAACATAAAACTCCTTTACTATTATTTCGGCTTCCACAAGTTAGTCTGTTGCTAAAGAATAATTGATTAACTATGAATTACACGAAGGTAACTCTGTAAAGCAAATGTAGAGGGACCATATGGGATTTCATATGCCTTAACACTAAAAAGATATTCATTACTTGTTCTGGTAATATTATCGAACATTTATTTTGAAACGGAAAGAAGGATCAATATAGAAAGAAATAATGGATCCGAAAGTTGAAGTTTTAAACTTGATACTTCAATGTTTTGCCTTCGATCAGCAATAAGTGAAGATGTTGGCTTGTTCAGTTAGGAAAAGAAGTAATGAACTATAATGTTTATCAAATGTTTATCAAGCATACTTCCTTGTGTACAAAATATTTCATACTGTGATATAAACAGTGAAAGATAATGGATGATTTCACTTGCTATATCTTCTATTTCAGTAATTGAAAATTTTTAAACACTATAAATTAAGCAATACTGTGGACTACAGTGATAATTATATAATACAGCGACTTGAAATACAATGATAATTATACAATACTATGGCTTTAACCGTCATTAGCGAATCGACTTTCATATATTCATTCCAAAAAATCTCAGTCCTATCACAGTGAACATCTTTTTGGCAGGATATCATAACTTGACTATTACACTCCTCCTTAAATTACTTCCAAATAAAAACTTGCGTATTCCAATATACAAAATGTTCTGCCAGTCTCTCCATAACTCCTCACAAATTCCCTCCTGTCTAACCCTTCCCTCAAATCCTTGTCGTTGGAAGTTCGGAAGGTTAACACTGCGCACAAGTAGAACGTAGAACATGAATATTAGACGTAACAGGAAGCTGAATAATTTTATGAACGGGAGGAAGCAAAAGCAATATTTTAAGTTAACAGAATAATAAAGACATGTAGTAGAGGGATCTGTCTTAAGGTAAAAAAAAAACTCCGGTAACTTTTTTCTCCACAACGCTTCCTCTACTTCCTTCTGTAATAAAGGTCAAAACTGAGTAAAGATATGTGCGTGTGAAATTATCGTCACATCAAGAACTTGAATGAAACCAATATGATGACATTGAGTGGTAAGACAAATGCCAGTACTTGAAGAACACTGTGAGAAAAAACAAAAAACCGAATGATCAAACCTATTCCTTTAGCAATTTGAGGCGATTCCTTCTACCATTAGCAGTTGGATAGGCGTCGCATTCGCTATCCCAATGATCTCGGTTGCAGAATAGGCACGGCCTTCTCTTACTTACTGAGTTGTGATGAATGTTGATTGCTTCGAACTGCGGATGATAAGGGTTTTGAATTGCTACGTACCATCGACAGTGCTGACGTT